CCAGAATCGTCAAAAGTACTTACATAAGTATACTTATATCACACTGTCGGATACCAGCTCGTGTTACTACGCAAAAAAATAAATAAATTCGCTAAATAAAATCTCTAATTTTTGGATTTAGAATGCTCTTTTTTTGATGACGTTGTATATTTTTGCATAGAAAAAGTAGAAAATCAACATTATGAATGTGCCGAATACATTGTTAAGTGGTGTAAAAACGTATTCGCATTATTGCCTTTTAAATGAAACAGGTTTTGGGTAAATCGGTTGGATAGTATCAAAGTCTTTAGCGGGCATGGCTAGAAATAATTTTCGTTTCTTTGGTCCTTTTAGGGTTCCGTACCCAAAGGGTTTAAATGAAAAAACCCTATTTCTGTTACTCTGTCGTATGTCGGTCCATATGTCACGGGTATCTAGAGCGTAAACGTAAGTTACAGAACTGAAATTCTGGTTTTTAATGTAGAATTCTTGCTCGAAGCTGAATATTTAGTTAAAAATTCAATTAAATTAGTTTTATAGGGGTGCCATACAATATAAGGAGACGAAATTTTTTTTTTTTGCACCCTAGCATGTAATAGATCTTTGTGTAGAGTTCGTTGAGTAGGATTAAAATATAATTGTTGTAATTTTTTATTATCAAAAAAAAAATGGATGCGTGTAACTTATGTACGCGCGTGAGAAGTTATACTTCTTTAGCATCATTAAAAATATTTTTTAATTGCATGCAAATAATTAATAATTACAATAAAATAATAAAAGGACTGGAAAAGGATAGTTAACACAGTCAATTAAGTTCAGTTTTAATTTGAAAAATTAAATAAATATTCAAAATATTCAACTAAAATCACTACTGAATTTAAGTTATTAGTCCATATGTTATTAGCACTTGTAAGTAACTAAAACACGTTGTGTCTATATAGAAACTAGAAACATGTGGATAAATATTATAAATATGAAAACAGTGATCAGAGGCGACGAGCATGCCAACATTGTTTTTGACAACGCGATCATCTTATGGAGCTCCGTGGATCGTTCAAAGTACCTTTCGCACTAACATTCATAACGCGCCCGCGGCCAACTTCATGGTGATACTATTGTGTTACAGTGATGCGCGCGCATCTCGAAATTTCACTCACATGATTTTATCATAACGCGCCCGCGGCTAACTTCATTATGTTACTTTTGTGTTACAGTGATGCGCGCGCATCTTAAAATTTCACTCTCATAATTTTTTCATAACGCGGCTAAAGAAGTATAACTTCAAAAAAAAAGAAATGGTCGGTTAAGTTGTCATTTATAGACCTTTTTTTTATGGGGTCTATCCCAAAATCTAAACTAGTTGGGAATGTGATTTGTTTTGCTTATGATATCCTATATGCTATATTTAAACAAATAATACTGAAAACGTCAATTCTTGTTAGTTTTGACGAAAACAAACAACTGATTTTACTCATATAAAATATAAAAATTATAAATGATTTTTCCTTTCACGGTTTGTTGTACGGAACCCTTCGTGCGTGAGTCCGACTAGCACTTGACCGGTTTTTTAAATAAAAAAATGGATTCGTGTAACTTATGTACGCGCGTGAGAAGTTATACTTCTTTAGCATCATTAAAATATTTTTAATTGCATGCAAATAATTAATAATTACAATAAAATAATAAGAGGACTGGAAAAGGATAGTTAACACAGTCAATTAAGTTCAGTTTTAATTTGAAAAATTAAATAAATATTCAAAATATTCAATTAAAATCACTACTGAATTTAAGTTATTAGTCCATATGTAATTATCACTTGTAAGTAACTAAAACACGTTGTGTTCTTGACCTTCACAAGTGCTTGTAACAGCCTAGAAAATGAATAAATGTCATTTCATTTCATTTCATTTCATTTCATTTCATTTCATTTCATTTCATTTCATTTCATTCAAATCTGCCCTATTTGCTTTGTTCAAATCTGCCCCACGGTCACTTGGAAAATAAAATATTACAAATAACGCGCTCGCGGCTAACTTCATTATGTTAAAATTGTGTGTTACAGTGATGAAAATTTCACTCTCATAAATTTTTCATAACGCGGCTAAAGAAGTATAACTTCAAAAAAATGATGTAGCTACTTACGGAGTTTTACAGTATAGTTAATGGTAGGTACTAGGAAGGACTTGCGAGCTGTCCCGTGTCCAGTAATTAGACCTTATTGTCCCGGATTCCGAAAATGTCCTAGTTTCGTAACAAAATACTCGTAAACTAATAGTAATATAAGTTATTTACGGGATTGTTACCATGTACCTTGTTTTTAGCGAGTTTCCGATATTTACTCCGTGATCATGGCGCTTGCAACAGTGCCGAAATATTGGAAACTCGCTAAAAACAAGGTACATTGTAACAATCCCGTAAATAACTTATCTAATATATAAAATTCTCGTGTCGCAGTGTTTGTGGTTAAACTCCTCCGAAACGGCTTTCCCGATTCGCATGAAATTTTTTGTGCATATTGGGTAGGTTTGAGAATCGGACAACATCTATTTTTCATCCCCCTAAATGTTAAGGGTAATTCTCACCTATTTTTTTTTGCAATATATTCAGTATATATTTTTTTTAATTTTTTTAGTATACATCATACAAAAATACATACAACCCTAAATTTTCACTCTTCTACCACCAACCCCTATTTTTTATGGCGGTACGAAGTTCGCTGGGTCAGCTAGTATTACTATAATGTTAGGGACCATGAAAGTTTAAAACAATAAGAATTACATCTGCCTGCTGTTTTAATTCTGGTGGGTGATGAGGGGGGGTTGATTTGATGCTTTATTTTTTCAGTGGGGGGGGGGCTGATAAGCCAGCATCTGGCAACCCTAACTGTATACCGGGTGCATTTTGCGTTACATAAGCGAGCGCGCTGTGACTAAGTGGTTTCGAACGTAGCGCTTCCTAGACTCGGTCATTACGCTTCTACGTATAACTTGATATACAACTTGTGTGTTTTAAAATCTTTATGGGATTCAAATACAAAGGTTTCCCTAACATTATTTCTATACAAATAAAACATACTAGCAAACCAGTGAACCAAATGTTCACCAAAACCTGATTTAAAAAAAAAATGTATTTAATTAATTGAGAACTTTGGAGATTTTGTGTGGTTTCGTTTGAAATTCGTGATTTCTCGAAAACCGGAAGTGCTACGTTACTCAAATCCGGTTTGTAGTCTTATCAGACTATTCTTAACTTATAACTTAAATATTCTCTAGTTTTTACGGGTTAATGCACGAAACTTTATTTATTTATTGACGTTTTTTATTTAATGAGTGATGTGCGTGAAAACCTAAGAAACAAATATTAAATATTCTCTTTATCTATCTCTTACGGTTTGGCCGCTGAAACAGCACCACAGATAGACAGACGGACGGACTTGTCTAATAGATAAGAGATTGTGTAGATCACATGTCGTATTTTGACTCTAAGGATATCGTGCTTAGTCCTAGTATTTTTGAAGTGAAAACTTCTTTAGCGGCGTTGTACACTTTTTTTGTATAGGTAAAAAATGTTAAACTCGCGTCAGGTTAAACACGTGGGCTGATCGCATCATGACACACAATAAAATTGGAAAGGTTGTTGTCTTTCAATATATTGGACGAAACATAGTAATATTTTATTTTATCGTATTAAAATAATAAGTCTCTATCTAGGACGTCCACGTGGCAGCTTTATTGCAGAAGATTTTTTTTTTTTAACAATAGATATCGCTAGGTGCGCTGAAATGTGATTCACAGAGATAAACTTTTCTAATGTAATATGAATTGTCAAGTTTGTGTACGATAGCGCAATAAATAAATATTGTATTCTACCACATACATGATAGTACTTTTATACTGATAATTAAAGCAATTCGTGTAAAATTTTTCCCTAACCATTCCAAAATATTAAAAATGCACAACGTTAATATTCAAGTTTTCACTTCTGCCGGCACTCCCGGAGTGCAACACATCGTTTCTTTTTATATATAGATCCGACAAATGACTCCACCCCACCTGATGTTAAGTGACGGTGAAGTCCAGATGTGAAGATAGCTGGTACAGCAGTTCCACCTGCCACACCAGCCATCCTCACCTTGCCGGCCTGCACGTTGCTTCTTCACGCCTATATATTCACGTATATTTTTTGTGTTGTCTTCATACGAGGACACGGTATTGTTATTTGGGAAGGTTGTGACAGAATAGCATAGACTGTGGGTTCTACATGTACCCTTAGTACGAGTGCGAGCTCACGAAAACTATCATGTTTTCGTAATTTTCCATTATGTTTCTATGTCCATTTTGGTGGAAACTAACCTAATATACTTAAAATTTAAGAAGACGCAAATGATTTAATGATGGAATTTAAACACTATTTATTTGTATTGAAACGAAAATAATAAAATCGGTACCTTTAGTACGAGTGCGAGCTCAGGATAACTATCATAGTTTTCGTAATTGTAAAACTCGTACCAAGGGTAGTGGTCACTGAGTCACAAACCGTTTTGTCTTATGATTTATTTTGTCATGTATGTGTGCAAGCTCAGTAATGGAAAGAAAAAAAAAGTTTTATTATTGTTATTATATATTCATAAAAATTTAATTATAGTTTTTATTTCGAAATCGTATTTATAACAGAAATACGATTACAATTTCTTGATATTAAAAAAACTTTAAAAATATTAATTTCTATAAATATTTGCCGCTATTCTAACGCCAGGAGTGGCGTTGTATTACTGTATAATAACGGTTTTTTTTGGGAAACAAACAATATTTTATCTCATTTAGATAAATAAAATATAGATTTACATACATCAACAAAGGTTCCACTAACAATTAGTACAGTTATGAGCAGCTGTGTATTTAATAAAAAATCATATAAAGTTAAATTAAATATTACTTAATTAATTAACTGTTGTATTTCTGTTATAAATACGAATGCAAATGCAAATATTTATAGAACTTTTGTGCTCTCCTATGTTGTAGATGAGCAGTTCTATGAGATGCCGCAGCTGTTCCACCTGGACCACTACGAGGAGTGCCTGGCGCGGCGCGGCGTCTACTGCGTGGGCAGCTTCGAGCTGGCCAGCACTCGCCGTCAGCAGCGGCTGTTCCGTCTGATGCAGGTACGTGGGCATGAGAGTCTTCCGTCTCTAGATGTAGTGTAGATATCGCAGCCATTCCACCTGGACGACTACGAGGAGTACCTGGCGCGGCACGGCCTTTACTGCATGGGCAACTTCGAACTAGCCAGCAATTACCGCCAGCAGCGGCTGTTCCGTCAAATGCAGGTACATGGGCATGAGTCTGCCGTCTCTGGACTTGGTGTAGATATCGCAGCTATTCCACCTGGACCACTTCGCGGAGTACCTGGCGTGGCATCTACTACATGGGCAATTTCGAGCTAGCCAGCATTTACCGCCAACAGCGGCTGTTCCGTCAAATCCAGGTACGTGGACATGAGTCTTCCGCCTCTGGACGTGGTGCAGATATCACAGCTGTTCCACCTGGACCACTACGAGGAGTGCCTGGCGCGGCGCGGCGTCTACTGCGTGGGCAGCTTCGAGCTAGCCAGCATTTACCGCCAACAGCGGCTGTTCCGTCAAATGCAAGTACGTGGACATGAGTCTTCCGCCTCTGGACGTGGTGCAGATATCGCAGCTGTTCCACCTGGACAACTACGAGGACTGCCTGGCACTGGAGGGAGCTCTGAGTCCATTTCATAGACATACGTCGAAATAGGTGATGGACTTCGCGTGCCAAAAGGGAGACCTTGGTCTGCCTTTTACACTAATTTATTTCTACGCATCGCCGTTCTCGACACAGAAGGTCAATCGTAATATTTTAAAAAATATCTAACTTTGTCATGAAAAGCTGTAAAAACGATATAAGGCGTTGAAATAGGTGACCTAAGCCCATGCTTTTTCACTTCTTCTTCTTCTTGCAACGGGCGTTTCCGCAACTCGACGTCCTTATGGCGCCTGTTTTGCGTGAGGTAGGCGTGCAGTCGGAATCACTCCAGCCAGCCTAGCTCCGTTAGGAACGCCCCTAGGGCCTTTACATTGGTGACTGCCTCTTGGAGATTTCCCAGTGAGCCGAGGTATTTTAGCCGGTATTCGGCCACTCCGTTGCATTCCAGCAGAAGGTGAGTGGCTGTTTCTTCTGCCTCCATGCATCCTCTGCATAGGGGGCTGTTCGTGACAGTTAAGTTAAAAAGAAGTCTGTTAAAATGGTCATGTCCGGTAATAGTACCTGTTACCATGCGCAATGTAGGTTTGCTTAGCTGTAGAAGAGCCTTGGAGAGGGCAGCGTTCACCCGTGTCAAAGCGAGCTTGGTCTGCCTGCACGTCTCCAGATCGCGCTAGTGTTGCTGGTGTGATGCGACAGTGTGCTCGCGGATTTTATTGACAAAGCCGCTTACCGGTACCGGTATGCTTCCAGGTTAGCTCATCCGCATCGTCGTTTCCGCGTGATCCGCTATGTCCCATGATCCATAGGATAGTAAAAGAATTTGAGAGTACTCAAAATCTGACACGCTCGGTTTCCATACAATATGTAGTTCATTCGGCGGCTTCTTCAATCTAGGTCTGTGGTCCATTTCTATACTCTCGTATGCGACAGGGAGGTTTACTTTTGGTCAATAAAATTGAGAGGAAGGGCATAGCGGATTTTTCGCTCGAAATGGAGGCTCCAGGGCTCCAGGGGGCAGGGGGTGGGGTCACGGTAGGCAACGGCCCGAGTGTTATTGTTTGTATCGCAAGCGTCTATAGGGTATGTAGGCTGCTTACCGTCAGGGTGGTCATAAGTTTGTCAACTACCCTTTGAACATAAAAAAAACATAGCTCTACAGGGTAGTGTAGCTTTTAGGCTCGTAAGAGTGACTGGAACAGCAAATTGTACCATAAAAACTTTCTAAGGTGTTATAACACCCATTCCTTATAAAGAGAGAAAGAGAGAGAGAGAAAGAGAAATCATTATATAGGTAACTAGCGGCCCGCCCTCGCTTCGCTTCGGTGTAGAGCTGAAGTGTAGACTACAGTTTTTGTTCTCAGGCTTGTATTATACACGATGAAATTCATCTATGATTCTTCTTATAGCTGAATGCAAAGTCCCAGCCCGACCAGTTTAAAATTGACAAAGTTTCATACAAACTTTCATTCCCTATTTTATCCCCTTGGGGGTACAATTGATCAAAATCTTTTCTTAGCGGATGCCTACGTCATAACATTTACCTGCATGCCAAATTTCAGCCCGATCCGTCCAGTAGTTTGGGCTGTGCGTTGATAGATCACTATGTCAGTCAGTCACCTTTGAGTTTTGTATATATAGATCTAGAAACAATCAGTAAGCAAAATATAGCATCATTTAAATGAATAACAAATTATTGTAGTGACAGTGAATGCATATAACTATATCACCAGCAGAAGCATTTCTGCGCATTGCATATTTTTAATTAACTTCATTGCCTAATATGTAAGCAAGCCGGGACTTGCAAACTACTTATTATTGTGTTGTGTGTAGCGATTCAGAGATGCACAGACAAAGCACGTAGGTAGCTATTATGTTTCGTAATGACAATTTCTGTAGGCGTAGCGTACCATTGTTTTATCTCTATTTTGTAAGTTCCAATTACAAGGGGTGCCCTTAAATTTCACCCGCATTAACTTGAGGAAAAATGTTAAAGTGACTAACAGTTATAGAATATAAAGTACCCCTAGCACGAACCAATATCGAATTCGTATCGTTTGCGAGTCCGAAATGTCATTGTCAAATGTGTACTGATTTTTAGTTCTCGTTACGTACTTTGTCCCGCTGTTGTTCAAGTTTCCATACAAAATTTGACATTGACATTTCGGTTTGCAAACTATTCGAATTCGATAATGGTTCGTGCTAGGGGTACTGTATCCCTAGCACCAACTAATATCGAAATTGTATCGTTTTATCAATTTACAATCTTAAGACTAGATACTCTTTAAGAGAAAATTTTAAAGAAAGCGATATAAAGAATGTTGTATTTCAGTACGTACAATAATAAAAATTATATATTATACTATAAATTGTGATAAGCACTCGATAATATTAGAAAAAAAAAATATAATTACCAGGCTCCACAAAATCAATAAATTTAAAAATTTCATAAATACAATTCTTATTATTAAAGCGTTTTATATGATGTCTGATTATATTTTAGACAAAAATGCTTGGGTTTAAACTGTTCGTTCCAGCAGGATTTTTCTATAATTATGATAAAGATGATAATTATGATTTTGTTTTGACACCGTAACAATATAATATTTTGTAAATATTGGTGCCAATTCTGGCGTGATTCTCTAAACTTAAAACTAAATTTAACATCAGTCTCTCCTTTTCATTCTGTATAGAGAACGACAAGGATATACTGCTGTCAAATTTAAGTTTAGGTTTAGAGAATTATGCTAGAATCGACACCAGTGTTACATAATTATTGAACGCCGGTGCGCCGTGAAGTTTCTTCGCCAGTTTATCTCAAATTAAACAAAATTTAATTAAAAAAAAAATTAAAATAATATTTAAATTATAATTTTTTATATTAATTTTTTTTGACAAAAAAAATGTCCTTACCTGGCGGTAGGGAAAAGAATATGGACGAAAGAAAATATAACTAGAAAAAATTCCACACGGACCAGGCAGCAGACGGGACTCGAACCCGCTCCCTTCGCAATCCGGGCGAATGCACTGACCAATTATGCTACCGCGGCCCTCACGGACCGCGTCGAAATTCTTCTAGCCATTCTCAAACTGCAAGGCAGCGCCATCTCTTCACATTATAGGTAAAGATTTAAACATCAAGCAGTTACATGCTTTAAAATAATAAAAATCATAAATATGGACGATTCAAAAGAGTAGTATTGTGTATTCAATTTGAATAAATTATTTTTGACTTTGACATAGCCTAAAGCCTCGATGACACTGGGCGAGTTTGCAAGCTACAAGCTAGCACCTTGTTAACTTGCTTAACAGTCTATATGAAAGAAATAAAAATATAAAGCTCCATTCTGTTACGTTTTCCTTCGTAAAAGTGAGGTTTAGCAATTATTTAAAGAACTGACGATCTGCGTTTAGTGTCAGCGACTCGTGCGCACCTAAAACGGTTACATAAACCGTTGCCGGGCCGGAACATTGGGGTTAAAAGGACAAACTAATAAAAAATATACTAGCGACATACATACTTAGTAATAACTAGTATAAATAAATAATACAAGACGAGCTCGATGTCGCGATGGTTAGCTCTACTTCCGTAATGGCCGGTTATTGGATGGGTGACCAAAAATTTGTTATCTCGAGTTTCTCCGTGCTTCGGAAGGCACGTCAAGCTTTAATAGCGTCTGTATCTGCAGTCGTTTGTACCCACTAATCCACAGTGGTCCCGCACGGTGGGTCATGGTCAAAGAAGATCTTATCTCTAACGTAGATCTCATCTACCCAAGCAAGATTTAGTGAGAAAGGGACATGTCAAAAATGCGTACTTGTTAAAATTCATTTTTTATATAAAACAGTAAAAGTGAGTGTCGTGGAACACTGGGTTGGAACAGAGTTAAAATTGAAACTGAGCTTGACGTCAAGTACACACAATATGCTACGAACAGCTGACGGTCCTGATGAAAAATGTTACTGTTTTTTGAAAAGCCCACATCCGTCAACCCCAGACGTACGATAACGAACTTCGTTACAACAATGACACTATGATGACAATATGTAGTTCAAATAATAATACCATAAGCTTTGCTTATACCATAAGCTGACATCGGAATATCATTTCGAAGTTGATGGCATTTAGATGTAATAATATCTGCTAATTAAAATGTTTATTTGCTAATTTAGTACCATACGCCTATTAGTTTGTGGCGGCGACATCTATATACCCCACATATAGACAACGGATGGAGGAAATCATTACTCACCATCCTCAAGAGATGGCGTTACCTGCACTGCGATCAATAATAGTATGGAAGCCTACATCGCGCAAATGAAATTCGGAAGCTAACTCTTCATATATACGATGCCCGACCAACATCAGTCGGGCCGCGGCCCCCGAGCTAACATCACCCAGCTCGGAGGAAGATCTTCCCCTTTGGTTAAACTTAAAAAAATAAATAAATAAATATTTCCGACACTCACACCAATTAGCCTAGCCCCAAAGTAAGCACTGTAAGGCTTGTGTTATGGGATGCTAGGGTAACGGATAGAGTACATACACTGTACATATATAAGTATATTTATATAAATACATATTAAACATCCATGACTGGAGTACAAATGCTCGTATTCATCACACAAACATCTGCCCCCACCGGGATTCGAACCCGGGACCTCTCGAGTCGGCGACAGCCATGAAACCCGGCGTACAAACCACTCGGCCACGGAGGTCGTCAAATGCCCTTGCTGAGTTTCTTGCCAAATCTTTTCATTACAAGGGCTCCCGCCTTAGGCCCGTATTACAGAATGACAACTAAGTGTTGATCTTTACTTTGAGTACAGTTAGAAAGGGATGCCGCTATGTGCTCTATATAGCGACATCCCTTTCTATCTATGCTCAAGACTAGATTAATTACTGAGAATCTTTCTATAATACGGGCCTTAGATTTACATACCAACCGATGGCGTAGCGTTTCACTTTCAAAAGAGATTATAACAGCCTAAACAGATTAAATGAGTTTGAATTTTGAATTACAATAATCGAGAATGATAAGCAATTGACATCTATTTCCCAACTATCGAGAGAAATATCCGCATACCGCAGCACTTGCACTGCGGTTACGTAAAGTCGTGATATAGGCACAACTACAAACTTAGCTTCCATCAAATTAGTTATAATGATTATAAACATGGGTTATGGTATTTCTACTTCCCTCTGTAACTCAAAATCACGAAGTTGTCAATGCGACCACGATCAGCCTTTTCAGAGCCATTGCTAAACTTAGCCTCATTGTACCGAATGCACTATGTAACACTATGGTGTTCTACCATTGAAATTATAATGTACGACACAGCAATCAAAATGTGAGTGGACTTTGTGGAGCTCTGCAGTCAATTTATTTATTTGACCCTAACTACCGTAAACTACCACCGGTTCCAAAATTGGGAGACTTTTCTGAGAAGAACCGGAGAAACAAACTCAAGAGAGGCTTTCTATCTCCTTTTTATGTTAAATTATGCAAACAAAAAGAACTAATAGTATCTGTTGGTCTTGCAGTGTGTGCTCGGGGTTGGGATTTTATCTCCTGTATAATAGGTTCCCAAGCTGGTGGTATATACCAACCATCTTCCCTATTGAAATTTGGATATTTTTTGATCTCAATAGCCTCGCGTATCATTCTAGGAATGAATCGTTGCTCAGTTGCAAGAATCTGTGGTTTATCAAATCTAATGTAATGGTTTGGTCCCCCTAATGCATGTTCACACACTGCAGACTTATTTTCGCGCCTATGTTTCATATCTGCGATATGTTATTTTACCCGAGTCCCTATACTCCTCTTTGTTTGCCCGATGTAGGAGAGCCCACAGTCGCATTCAAGTTTGTAGACACCAGCAACTTGAAAGGGTATATTGCACTTGACCGGTCGTAGAAACTGGTTGATCTTCTTTGGCGGCTTGAAGTATGTATTGATTGAAGCACGCTTCAGAATCCTCCCAATCTTGTCAGTGACTCCTTTCATGTAAGGTAGTATAGCAGGTTGTCGGTCGACTGTGCTAGGTTTGGCGCGACTGTGACGGCGACATGGTACATTCAGGTTATTATCCTTCAGTACTTGCTCGACATGCTGAAGTTCAGCTGCTAGGTGTTGTTTGTCACAGACACCCCGTGCTCTCTGAAACAAAGAGTTTCCTACGGCAGTTAATTGTTTCGGGTGATGGTGTGAGTCAATAAATAAATAAAGTATCGTGCATTAACCCGTAAAAAACTAGTTTTATGTAATGAGTGATGTGCGTGAAAACCTAAGAAACAAATATGTACAATAAATTATCTTAAAAACGGAGAATGATACGTGTTTATAAAAATTCAGTATGACACTGCTCTCGTAATTATTGTGCCAACTGCAAGTACACTACTTATTTAAATATTTATTAATAAGAATCAATGCCAGAATAGTGAAAAAATATATTGTAATTAATACATAAATAAAGGTTGAGGGATCCCCGAAATACTCTTTCCACAGTACTCTACTATTCATGTTCTGATGATTTCTCCATTTTATGTATAGAGATACTCGTCCAACTGGGTTGACAACTTCAACCACACGCGGCTGCACCGCGGGTTGTGCGTGTCGCGCCGCTGCCCCGCGCCCACCCATCCCGCCGGCGACGCAGAGCCCCTGCACGCTTGGTCAGTATCCCGGATTGTGGGAGGTAACACGTGAGCTGGGAAAGCATATCTATTTTATAAGTAAACTATGTTAGTAAAGTATAATCTATTCTATACTTTACTAACATAGTTTTTAAGGCACATTGTTACTAACATTCTATGGACTGTATAATACTGTCTGAGAATAAATTATTATTATTGAAAATTCAAAATTCAATATCGTTTCTTCAGTCTAGGCTATTACAAGCACTTGTGAATGTCGAAAAGCTACGCCATCTACGGAGACCTTGTACTTATAAGAACCGGCAAGAAACTCAGCAAGGGCTGTTTTTTTTTTCCCTGTATTATTATATTTATCTTCATTTAAGGATAGTGCGACAAAGAAATGAGTCACTAAATCTCTTTGTTCGCGTTGGAATAGAGGCCACAGGAAGTCGTTAACAACGTAGGCCAGCGCGGGTGGCCCTCTGAAGGAAAGGGATAGGGGAGGATAACTCCGCATCATCATCAGCCTATTAATGTCCCCTCTGCTGGGGCACAGGCCTTCCCTATTGATGGAATTGGGAGATTGCGCCATTAGCCACCACGAAGGCCCAGTGCAGATTGGCGGGTGCTAACGCCTGCAGATGCAGCCGGGATCAACGGCTTAACGTGCCTTCCGAAGCACGGAGGAGATCAAAAAAGTAAATTTTTTGTAACCCATCCAATGACCGAGCACTACGAAAGTTGCTTAACTTCAATGATCGCAGCCGAACGCGCTCACCACTTGCGACATCGAGCTCCTCCTGGAAGGTGGGATAAGAGAGAATAAGTCCTACTCTACGATCTAGAGTCTCCCGAAGGCAGTATACAGTGTCATATATAATTACGGCAACCCATCATGCCGGCTACGCGGGCGCCGACGAAGAGGCTTTATACTAGAATATTTAACCGAGGATCTCGATGGCGCCAGCGGATAATGAGTGCCGTCTGCGATGATAGAAGTAGAACGACTTTCGCAATCATCGGATAAGGAACCAACAATGTATGATTTCGAGCTTCTCCGTGCTTCAGAAGGTACATTAAGCCATTGGTCCTCCCGGCTGCATCTGCAGTCGTTAGCACTCGCCAATCCGACACCAGCGTGTTGAGTCATGTCCCAATCTCTGTATCCCATTTATAGAGAAGAAGTGTGCTTCAGCTTGTAGAGTGTGTAGTAACTTTTAAATTACCTTACACCAGGAGTGGCTGACTTGATTAGACCCAAGATTTACTGTTTCCTGTCGAAGAGAGGTAGTTGGTGATTCATCATCATCATCATCAGCCTATTAATGTCCCCACTGCTGGGGCACAGGCCTTCCCTATGGATGGAATAGGGAGACTGGGCCATGACCCGCCACGCGGGCCCAGTGGTGATTGGCGGGTGCTAACGACTGCAGATGCAGCCGGGACCAACGGCTTAACGTGCCTTCCGAAGCACGGAGGAACTCGAGATAGAAGATTTTTGGTTACACACCCAATGACCGACCACTGCGAAAGTTTCTTAACTTCAACCATCGCGCTGACCACCTGCGCCATCGAGCTCCTCCTAAGTTGGTGATTACGATGCGCATTCTATTCTTTTTATTTACGTTTTTGCCTTGTCACGATCGACTGAACTAATAGTCGTGATCAACTGGTTGGCTGTACACCCACTACAAATGAGTGATGACTATGTAAAGAACCTCTTTACAGTCAATTCTTTAATTTGTTATTTCATAAGTAGTTTGTATAGCTCTCCGGCGACCATAATAATAATACTGTCATTTGACAGATGGTGTCGCTTTGACAGAACGAGCCATGATATTTTTATTTGATTATTTTAAAATTTATTGTAAAGGAAGGAATTGTTGTATTAAGTAAAAGACTTTAAATGTCGTTTCTCTGTTTTCAGGTAAGTTAGTATGATTTATAGTAGATAGTAAAAAGTGTAGTGAATAATAAACGTTTTAACCTACATACATACTTAAATAAAATCTTTGTTTTCAGAGCAACACATTGGTTTAATTACTTTTACTTTTTGAAGTTATACTTCTTTAGCCGCGTTATGAAAAAATGATGAGAGTGAAATTTCGAGATGCGCGCGCATCACTGTAACACAAAAGTAACATAATGAAGTTAGCCGCGGGCGCGTTATGAAAAAATAATGAGAGTGAAATTTCGAGATGCGCGCGCATCACTGTAACACAATAGTAACACCATGAAGTTGACCGCGGGCGCGTTATGAATGTTAGTGTCTAATAATGGTGATTATTAACCACTTTTATTGTAATTATTAATTATTTGCATGCAATTGCATGGAGGAGCTCGATGGCACAAGTGGTTAGCGCGTTCGGCTGCGATCGTTGAACTTAAGCAACTTTCGCAGTGGTCAGTCATTGGATGGGTGACCAAAAATTGCTATCTCGAGCTCCTCCGTGCTTCGGAAGGCACGTTAAGCCGTTGGTCCCGGCTGCAACTGCAGTCGTTAGCACCCGCCAATCCGCACTGGGCCCGCGTGGCGGGTCATGGCCCAATCTCCCTATTCCATCCATATGGAAGGCCTGTGCCCCAGCAGTGGGGACATTAATAGGCTGATGATGATGATGATGATGATGATGATGCAATTAAAAAATATTTTTAATGATGCTAAAGAAGTATAACTTCCCACGCGCGTACATAAGTTACACGCATCCATTTTTTTTTTATGATCGTCAGGTTTGCGTCGTGTGTGAACGCCAGTATGATGTCCTCGTACGAGCTGTCGGCGCGCCTCTACCGCCTGGAGTACTGTGAGCGGGGCGGCGGTGGTAGCGGGGGCGGAGGCGGTAGCTGGGGAGGGCGTAAGGGAGCGAGCGATCTGAGCGCCTCCGAGCAAGCGTTCGCGGGCGTGATCGCAACGCTGCTCGTGCTCGCGCTCGTCAGCACAGTCCTGGACGTATCACTCACCGACCAGACCAAGAAAAGTAAGTGCTTACATAATTAATAAGTATTACCAATTAGCCTAGCCTTAAAGTAAGCACTGTAGGTTTGTGTTATGGGATACTAGGGTAACGGATAGAATACATATACTGATACATATATAAGTATATTTATATAGAAATACATCTTAAACATCTATGACTGGAGTGCCAACGCTCGTATTCCCACGAGCATCTGCCCCCACCGGGATTCGAACCCGAGGACCTCCCGAGTAGGCGACACCTTGAAAAACAGCGTACAAAACCACTCGGCCACGAAGATCGTCAAACATGACAATACATGTGTCACAGAGTTGCCATTTATCTCATCGATCATGTCTACCCAATGTTTTGCGTCGCCGAGAACTGGCACTTGTACCCCAAGCTCGTACAATTAGCGAGAAAGTATTCGTATCGCCATGTCTTTATATGGAAAAAAGCTGGTTCGTTCTTACGTCCGGTAGGGGCGCTGCATAGTTTCCATAGAAACTTCGACGTTGGTAATACGTTCTGTCAAAGTTCCTGCTTGAGGTACTGGGCAATAGGGTGGAGTGCTAATTTCCGATATTTAGTTATGTGCATGGCAAAGAAATTTTTACTTTTATGAGAGAATATCAAGTCTAGATCTACGCCATGTCCAACTTTTTGAAGTGAAAAGTGGGTTAAATATGTTTAACTCACGTCAGGTTAAACACGTGGGCTGATCGCGTCATGACACACAATAAAATTGGAAAGGTTGTTGACTTTCAATATATTGGACGAAACATAGTAATATTTTATTTTATCGTATTATAATAATAATTTGCTATCTGGGACGTCCACGTGGCAGCTTTATTGCGAAGAAAATGCATTTTTTTTTACAATAGATGTCGCTAGGTGCGCTTAAACATGATTCATGTCAGTTGATTTTTGTGAGAGATAAACTTTTTTTTTTGTAATATAAATTGTCATGTTTGTGTACGATAGCGCAATAAATAAATAATGTATTCTACCACATACATGATAGTACTTTTACACTGATAATTAAAGCAATTCGTGCAAAATTATTCCCAAACCATTCCAAAATATCAAAAATGCACAACATTAATATTTAAGTTTTCACTTCTGCCGGCACTCCCGGAGTGCAACCCATCGTTTTTTTTTTATTTTAGATGTTGATAACTCCAAGCACATTTAACTATGAAGTGATGTCTTCTAACACTTTATTCTTCTGTTGACTTATGAATGTAAAACTTGCCGTGGCACCACTTTCACTTACCGCCATCGAACTGTGACAACTATACCGTACCTATTCATTGATATATACTGTTTTCTATAATAAATCACAAAATACACTTATGACTACCATTCCACAAGCGTTAAAATATTCCTGTCATTAATAAATAATAGGTAATTTTCATCAGCAAGTAGCGAAACAGGCCTATACCGAACCAGCTCAAACAACAATTGCTACACACGTTGATAAAAAAGTGACATAACTCAATCGAACCAAGACTAATTCTTTGCGCGGACGCAGCAACAGACCGGTCCTCGGTCTAAGCGATGATAACGATGAAACACAATCGGTTATACCACAAAACAAACAGGCACAGAATACCGGCTAGATATATATAGATATAGTTATTTGTCGGACCTATCTATAAAAAAAAGTAGCGAAACAACGCATCTTGATGAAGTAGAAGTTGGGAATTTCGAATATTCCTATTTGGTACTCGTATATCATGATTTTATATGTTTTAACTATTAATGAATAAACTTTGATGTTGATTTATCATATAGATGTGAGTTCGGCAAAACAGTATTTAGACTTAGCCGCACACTTGTCTAAGTCCAGCAGCCAGGCGGCTAAATCAACTGCCTTCTTTCGTCAATCAAATAATCTAAGGCCACACCCGAATGAAAAAAACCTTTGACTTCGGATCAACTTCACTGCGGGCATTAAGCGGGTCAGGAGTATTTACTGCTGACCCGCTTAATCAAATGAAAGAAGCTGGTTACAATTAAAATCAACGGAGACGGCCTTCTGTGGCTGTTTGTTTTGTGACTGTGCCGTGGTTCTGATTGCAATGCTATTGACCTAGTGGCCAGCGAATCTTTTCCTCGACTGCACGTGGTTGCGTAATTGTTTAACTTAAGCAAACTTGCGTGTGCAAAGTAAATATTGGAATGGAATCGCAGATTTTTTTATGAAAGGCTCATCAAAATTTCTTGTAATGGCCTGCGCAGGCGAAGGATTTTAATCAGCGGAGGTCAAAGGAATCGTGAGGAAAATTTCCACCGAGACATGTCACGGACTCAATGCATACAATGTGAGATTCTGTCCCCCGAATATTTAGAAAAGCGCTCGCTCTGGCATTAAATATATTCAGATTACGTTGTGTTGTAAAAAATAAAACATGATTTTTAAGAAAAAGAAAATAGTCGAAATAATTATAAAAATAAAAAGAAATGATGTGGTGTCGTGGCACACCAGGTAGGAACGAAGTTCCTTCGGCTAATGTAGAATCGACACAAATTGCAAACTCGCTTGTGTATGCGACTGTCGCGCCTGCGCACGTCTCATTTAACGATTTTATTCCACGCACTTTTTTCCACGGATTTCTTCTTACGGTTTTACTACCACATTTTTTTCAGTTCGGTCGCGCAGCAAAATCCCTATCCCCTCCAAGCCTGCCGTAAGGAACTTCGTTCCAATAAAATTATAATTGCCATGTGTTACAAATTTTTAAAGGTATTCATTTGACATTGTGGATTACCTACAATGCGAAGAGAAAGCGCTGCCTTGCAGCTTAAGAGAAGCTAGAGAAAAGAAAATAATTTAAAATATCATATTGTGTCTATATCTTTACATCGGACTAAGCTTTAGCATTAATAAGCCATGAGAAATTTAGCTCTTTGAAGAGATAAGAGCTGTATAGCTCTTTACCCAGTGAAGAGCTATATAACTCTTCTAGCTCAGTGGCTCTTTTTGCTCAGTGCAGTTCATGCAGATAGAAGGCTCTTTAGTCGTTTTAAATGTCTAGAGATCAGACTCGCTCGATTGACACTTTTGAGTTATACACAGTAGGTAGTTAGCACCTTCTTCCTACTGGAATACATCTTTTTAAAAGTACACATATAGTAGTAGTCCGCGTGTTTTTTTTTAGTTATATTTTCTTTAGATTCAAACATCAAGCACTTACATGCTTTTATTTAAAAAAATTATAACTACACATATAGTAATCAAAGCAATTCGCCATTTGTTGTTTATTTTCAGGTGTTGAAAATGCTTAATGAATTTTCACTGTTCTTTAACCTTTCTTTAATTTTCTTTTATATCTTCTTCTTCTTTATATATAATAAGGTTAGCAAAATAGATAAAATTTGAATTCATATGTATATTGCGCTAGCGTCTCCGATAGGCAGTGATTGGTTAAAGAGTTGCTCAATTCCGATGAAACTCTGAACTAAATGCTATACTGATACGAATTGAACGAGTCCGAGCTAGATATACGAGTACGTTGAGCTAAAATCGGTGAGCCGGTTCTTTTTAACAACTCGCTCGCTCGCTACTCATCGCTACTTAGAATGAAACAAAAATGGAATCGGGCGTGCCGCGTACTACAGTTAGCAGTGTTCTTTGCTGCATTTCTTTTTGTTTCGGAGACACCCACATACATCTTTGTCCTGTCCGGTCTCTCGAATCACCCGCGCTTCCCACTCCTCCCACATAGGCCACAAATACCAGCACTATACAGCTATCATACTTGCATACTAGCTTAGCATTAGGCAGACACCGCACCCGTAGGATAAGAGTGCGAAGCACCGGTCTACACACGACACGCTGTACCAGGTGCAGGTAAGTACCTGGGCGCCACGACAACGGCTAACTAGAGCCGAGGTCTGAGTTTCAGAAACGCCCTCTAGTTGAGCCGACTCCCTCGGGTTAGATTGGTCTAGAGACTCCAGACGGAGAGGAGATTCCCTCCGTGGGGAGATGCCGTCCGCCTGGAATACCTCTAGAGGCACTCGCCATTTCTCGGCTTGAGGTCCCCTTAGGATCTCGCCGTCCCCAAACCCGGTGACGCTGTAAAGGTCATCTGCGACCAACAGCATGAACACTCAAAAAAAATGTCCGGTCTCTTGGTGTCCTCGGTTGTTCGGGGGACTTTTAGTTCGCGGTACTTGTAATCCGTCGTGTGCGCTACTCAGTTCAGGCGGTTCGGCGGTCAAAAAAAGTCCGCGGACAATAATCCCCCGTCTACGCTGGCTATAACTGTGAGCGTATTCGAGGATATAACTGTGAGGATATAGGTACTTGATGGTTTTCCCACACAGATAGGTATTACAACGCAAACATAACAAGGCTTAAAATAAAAAATATGTAATTCAATATTGTTTTGACATTACACGCTATCATAGTAAATAATACGACATGAAGATGAAGGACAATGTTAATTTTACCCTACTTATGCCTTCCTCTATGCTAGGCATGTTTAAAACAAATTGAACCGGTTCATAAATCAAAAAGCTATTTAACGTTTTATTTATTAATATTTTTTTAAGGGTGGCAAACAAGATTGTAAGCGGCCACCAGCTTATAGACGCTTGCGATACGATAAATATAACTCGCCTACCCTGACCCTATCCCCTACCCCGTGGAGAGAGAGAGAGAGAGAGAGAGAGAGGAGAGGTGAGAGGGGGAGAGAGAGGCAGAGAGAGGGAGAGGGGGGGGGAGAGGGGGGAGAGGGGGGAGAGGCAGAGAGAGGGAGAGAGGGGGCAGAGGGAGAGGCAGAGAGAGGGAGAGAGGGAGAGAGAGAGAGAGAGAGAGAGAGAGAGAGAGAGAGAGCCCTGGAACCTTACACACCGACAGAAACACAACACCACCAAAAGGTTGTGTTATTTTAATGTGGTCTTCTGAAAGGTGGAGGGTACTCCCCCAGACGGGCGCTCCAATTCGAGCGGTAAATCTGCTATGCCGTACTTCTCTTAACAAAGCTGTTTGAAGTAATGAATGTTGATGCAAA